AGTAGCAGTAATGCCAACCAATCAGAGCTCAGTAGACATAATGCTAACTAATCAGCTCTCAGTAGCAGTAATGCCAACCAATCAGCACTCAGTAGCAGTACTGCTAACCAATCAGTACTCAGTAGCAGTAATGCCAACCAGTCAGCACTCAGTAGCAGTAATGCTAACCAATCAGCACTCAGTAGTATTAATGCCAACCAATCAGCACTCAGTAGCAGTAATGCTAACCAATCAGGACTCAGTAGAAATAATGCTAACCAATTAGCACTCAGTAGTATCAATGCCAACCAATCAGCACTCAGTAGCAGTAATGCTAACCAATCAGCACTCAGTAGTATTAATGCCAACCAATCAGCACTCGGTAGCAGTAATGCTAAACAACCAGTGCTCAGTAGAAATAATGCCAACCAATCAGCACTCAGTAGTATTAATGCCAGCCAATAAGCACTCAGTAGCAGTAATGCTAACCAATCAGCACTCAGTAAAAATGATGCTAACCAATTAGCACTCAGTAGTATTAATGCTATCCAATCAGCACTCAGTAGCTGTAATGCCAACCAATCAGCACTCGGTAGCAGTAATGCTAACCAGTGAGCACTCAGTAGCAGTAATGCTGACCAATCAGTGTTCAGTAGCAGTAATTCCAACCAATCAATGCTCAGTAGCTGTAATGCCAACAAATCAGCACTCAGTAGGAGTACTGCTAACCAATCAGTACTCAGTAGCAGTAATGCCAACCAGTCAGCACTCAGTAGCAGTAATGCTAACCAATCAGCACTCAGTAGCAGTAATGCTAACTAATCAGGACTCAGTAGAAATGATGCTAACCAATTTGCACTCAGTAGTATTAATGCCAACCAATCAGCACTCAGTAGCAGTAATGCTAACCAGTCAGCACTTCAGCACTCAGTAGCAGTAATGCTAACCAATCAGCGCTCAGTAGAAATAATGCTAACCAATTAGCACTCAGTAGTATTAATGCCAACCAATCAGCACTCAGTAGCAGTAATGCTAACCAGTCAGCACTTCAGCACTCAGTAGCAGTAATGCCAACCAATAAGAGCTCAGTAGACATAATGCTAACCAATCAGCTCTCAGTAGCAGTAATGCCAACCAATCAGCACTCGGTAGCAGCAATGCTAAACAACCAGTGCTCAGTAGAAATAATGCCAACCAATCAGCGCTCAGTAGTATTAATGCCAGCCAATAAGCACTCAGTAGCAGTAATGCTAACCAATCAGCGCTCAGTAGAAATAATGCTAACCAATTAGCACTCAGTAGTATTAATGCCAACCAATCAGCACTCAGTAGCAGTAATGCTAACCAGTCAGCACTTCAGCACTCAGTAGCAGTAATGCCAACCAATCAGAGCTCAGTAGACATAATGCTAACCAATCAGCTCTCAGTAGCAGTAATGCCAACCAATCAGCGCTCAGTAGCAGTAATGCTAAACAACCAGTGCTCAGTAGAAATAATGCCAACCAATCAGTGCTCAGTAGTATTAATGCCAGCCAATAAGCACTCAGTAGCAGTAATGCTAAACAATCAGTGCTCAGTAGAAATAATACTAACCAATCAGCACTCAGTAGAAATAATGCCAACCAATCAGCACTCAGTAGCAGTAATACCAACCAGTCAGCACTCAGTAGCAGTAATGCTATCCAATCAGCACTCAGTAGCTGTAATGCCAACCAATCAGCACTCGGTAGCAGTAATGCTAACCAGTGAGCACTCAGTAGCAGTAATGCCAACCAATCAGTGTTCAGTAGCAGTAATTCCAACCAATCAATGCTCAGTAGCTGTAATGCCAACAAATCAGCACTCAGTAGGAGTACTGCTAACCAATCAGTACTCAGTAGCAGTAATGCCAACCAGTCAGCACTCAGTAGCAGTAATGCTAACCAGTCAGCACTCAGTAGCAGTAATGCTAACCAATCAGGACTCAGTAGAAATGATGCTAACCAATTAGCACTCAGTAGTATTAATGCCAACCAATCAGCACTCAGTAGCAGTAATGCTAACCAGTCAGCACCTCAGCACTCAGTAGCAGTAATGCTAACCAATCAGCGCTCAGTAGAAATAATGCTAACCAATTAGCACTCAGTAGTATTAATGCCAACCAATCAGCACTCAGTAGCAGTAATGCCAACCAATCAGCACTCGGTAGCAGTAATGCTAACCAATCAGCACTCAGTAGCAGTAATGCCAACCAATCAGTGTTCAGTAGCAGTAATTCCAACCAATCAGTGCTCAGTAGCTGTAATGCCAACAAATCAGCACTCAGTAGGAGTACTGATAACCAATCAGCACTCAGTAGCAGTAATGCTAAAGAATCAGCGCTCAGTAGTATTAATGCCAACCAATCAGTGCTCAGTAGAAATAATGCCAACCAATCAGCACTCAGTAGTATTAATGCCAACCAATCAGCACTCAGTAGCAGTATTGCTAAACCTCTCAGCACTCAGTAGCAGTAATGCCAACCAATCAGTGCTCAGTAGACATAATGCTAACCAATCAGCACTCAGTAGCAGTAATGCCAACCAATCAGCACTCAGTAGCAGTAATGCTAAACAACCAGTGCTCAGTAGAAATAATGCCAACCAATCAGTGCTCAGTAGTATTAATGCCAGCCAATAAGCACTCAGTAGCAGTAATGCTGACCAATCAGTATTCAGTAGCAGTAATTCCAACCAATCAGTGCTCAGTAACTAAAATGCCAACAAATCAGCACTCAGTAGGAGTACTGCTAACCAATCAGTACTCAGTAGCAGTAATGCCAACCAGTCCGCACTCAGTAGCAGTAATGCTAACCAATCAGCACTCAGTAGTATTAATGCCAACCAATCAGCACTCAGTAGCAGTAATGCCAACCAATCAGCACTCAGTAGCAGTAATGCCAACCAATCAGCACTCAGTAGCAGTAATGCTAACCAATCAGCACTCAGTAGTATTAATGCCAACCAATCAGCACTCAGTAGCAGTAATGCCAACCAATCAGCACTCAGTAGCAGTAATGCTAACCAGTCAGCACTTCAGCACTCAGTAGCAGTAATGCCAACCAATCAGAGCTCAGTAGACATAATGCTAACCAATCAGCTCTCAGTAGCAGTAATGCCAACCAATCAGCGCTCAGTAGCAGTAATGCTAAACAACCAGTGCTCAGTAGAAATAATGCCAACCAATCAGTGCTCAGTAGTATTAATGCCAGCCAATAAGCACTCAGTAGCAGTAATGCTAAACAATCAGTGCTCAGTAGAAATAATGCTAACCAATTAGCACTCAGTAGTATTAATGCCAACCAATCAGCACTCAGTAGCAGTAATGCCAACCAATCAGCACTTAAGCACTCAGTAGGAGTAATGCCAACCAATAAGAGCTCAGTAGACATAATGCTAACCAATCAGCTCTCAGTAGCAGTAATGGTTAGCATCAGTAGCAGTAATGCTAACCAATCAGCACTCAGTAGCAGTGACTCCAATCAAGAACCCTGACCAACTGGTAAATGTGGCACTATTGGTCCCTTTTCTGTCAGTTTAAAACTATTAGATGATCAAAAAAAAACCATATTGTGTGTCATGAAAATTTCTTTGCCATGTCGTCCACCTCCAGATAACAGAGTCAACTCCAAACGGTTTAAAGTGAGTACGTGATGATTTGAGCGAGCAGTTCGAGTCGATGACGTATAGAGTCTCAGCCTTTAGGCTTTTATCGTAACTGCAGAAATATGTTTTATTTTGCCGTGGAGACGAAACTCATCAAACTGAACATCTGGAGTCTATTACAGTTTAACATTGCATTAGGCCAAGAGTGAGGCTGGAGCTGTATAATTCACACTGAGCTCTGTCAGTTACGTCAATCCAGGGAGATAAGCACTCACACATGTCTCACTGCACCAGAGCTCCAGAGGTCATTCTGTGAATATACATCAACGTCATATTCTCTATGCTTTTCTGTACGGTCACTTCATTTGCCCACAATACATTACGGTAACTGATCTTTAGACTCTTGACAAGAAGCATCAAATCCCAAGAAGCATATCTAATGATTCACATCTGCTATAAGTGCCATTGCACAACACCATATGCAAAGTTATGTAAACCTGTTTTGTATTTGTAAAGACTCGATACATGACAGCCATGGCATTTCACCTTGGTAGGTTTACCTCAGGACAGGTGCGGTTACCCTGGGGGATGGACCTGAAGACAAGTGGGTTTTACATTAGAGTGATAAGTGGTTGAGAACAGGTGGGTTTTACATGAAGACATGCTAATTGTACCTGAGGACACACAGGTGGCAATGAGGAGGGGTATCTGAGGACAAGCAGATTCAACTGAGGACAGGTGGCTTTTACCTAATGACAAGCAGGTTCACCTAAGATCGGGACAGGTGGGTTTCCTTTGGATAAGTATGGTGAAGGTAAAATGGGTTTTACCTGAGGACAGGTAGGTTTACGCCTGATGATAGGGACAGAGAGGTTTAGTCATGGGCAACTGGTTTTACCTGAGTATAGGTAGGTTTTGCTTGATGAAAGGTAACTTTAACTGATGACAGGTGGGATTTACCTGAGGACATAGTGGATTTACCTAAATACATAGTCAAGGTCAAATTGGTTTTACCTGAGGACAGGTAGCTTTAACCTGAGAACAGGTAAGTTTTATCTGAGGACACATGGGTCTAACCTGAGGACAGGTAGGTTTAACCTAAGGATTGATAGCTTTAACCTTAGGACAGGTGGGTTTTATCTGAGGACATGTGTGTTTAACCTAAGGCCAAGCAAGTTCAAGCAGGTTAAATACATGTGTATTTGTCCCTGATGACCAGTGGGCTTTACCTGAAGACAGGTGAGTTTATTGGCAAGAGGTCAGTCTACCCAGGTGGTTTTACCTGAGGGCAATCAGGTTTACCTGGTGATTTTTACTTGAGGACAGGAAAATTTTCCTTGGAACTGGTGGGTTTTACCTGAAGACACGAGAGCTGTACCTGAGGACAGGTGGGTTTACCTGAGGACAGTCTTTTATGTAATGGCCCTTGTTGAAACACAGGTGGCACAGGTAGTTGGGTGGTGGCCTCTTGCAGGGTTTTCGGGGTTCAGACGTCAGCGAGAGTTCGCAGAAGTGGTCAGTCAGAGAACTCAGTCCTTCCACAATGTTGCTGATGGAGCCGCAGGGAGACAAGTCTTCATACTGACCAACACTCAGAGTCTGTGAAGGAGAGATAGACAGAGTCTGCTTTAGAATGCTATGTAGAAACTGGACAAGGCTAAGGTGCTCCGTGTGTTCACACAGTAATAGAGGTATGCATGTATGGACACACAGGAACTGTGATGCGATCAGGGGTGGTCTTTGCAGTAGGCCAAATGTTTACGTAACGACCAAAGTCGTATTTCATAATTCATTTTTACATGATAGCTTTCTGACCTCTCTTTATCCCTTATGCTGATGTGTAAGACTGATACATGCAAATGAGCCCTGCCAGTGTGAAATACCCCCTGGTATTCAGGGGGTCCCATATCAGTCACTTAGTTGCCATCCCAAGTCAGGCAATCTTTACACCAACTCTTGGGAAACTGGGCGAGTTCTCAGATTTACTATGCTACAGCACATTGTAAAGTTTTTTTAAAAGAATCTCAGGCATAGTTACTGTTGTTAGGCTATGTAGGAACAACTGGGTGAACAGCGCCACCTTGAAGCAGATCAATGCTACGGCTCTACTTAAGAATATCAAAGACAGCTCCCGGGTGGTGCAATGGTCTAAGCGTTGGCCCTATCATGAGGAGATCGCGAGCGCGATCCCTGGTGTTGCTAAAGCCGTCCGTGTCCAGGAGTCCGAGCGCCTCACTTTTTCTGGGTGGGTAGGACAGCCCCCCCCCGTCTCCCCCCGAGTTCAATCCCTGGTAATGCTACAGCCGTCCGTGCCCAGGAGTCCGAGGTGGGGTGTCTCTGGGTGGGTAGGACGATGCTAACCAGCACAGGCATCTGTTAGCTGATGTAACAGAACTGGCAGTTGGCCCTTTCCCCTGAGTGTGTTCAGCTGTCCAGTGATGTTGTGGGAGCAGAAGTTTGAAAAGATGCAGTGGAGCTTCGCAGGACTTGGAGGAAACCTGTGGTAGCCTCCTAGCACTGGTGGTATTGCATGATTCTAACTAGCGGGTGGGTGGAATTGGATAAATTTAGGGAGAAAAAGGAGAAAAAAAAGAATAGCAAAGATAGTAAATGATTGTGAGTGAAGCAGGAAAAACCAGGAGCTTTCCCTGAATCTGTTTTACCTCAACAGACAACACAAGTTTATTTTCAGGGACACTCTAAAATTTTGATTTTGAGACATTCAGGTGGCCCAAAAAGGTTAATTAAGGGGTCCTGGACACCCCGTATTTTGCACATTGACCTCATTCAAAAAGCAGTCTGGGCTGAAACACTCCTTATGACTTCAGTGCGAGTGGGCGGAGCATGGTATTGCTCGCTAGCAGCTCAACATGGTGTCAACATTTCACACACAATGAACCAACAGTGCCCCAGTTAATCTGATGACAGAGTTACAGGATAAATATGTTATTTGATTATATTAATTATCTAATTTGATTTAAAAATATCCAAGTTGCGGCCGGCAGAGAGACAGTAGTGCAGTAATAGAGGGATGATGAGTAGCACTGAAGCAGTGAGATGTGCTGAAAGTTGTGGACCGCTAAACCAGAACCACAGAACCCACAACCACTTGCAGCCCCCAGGACCCTCCAGCAGGTTAAAGCTCCTCGCCTGTATGGTTCTTACAGCGTCCATCTGTAGTGTTTATGGGTGCAGGCTGAAGCTCTGCGCCCGTTTCTTCCTCACAGAATGTCACGGATTGTGCTCTCTCACCCGCGGAGGGAAAGACGAGTGACAAAGCCGCTCTGTCTTCCTCAGGAAGAGAAGCGCTTCCCTCCATCCCAGCCGGCGCCGCACTGCTGCAGCTACGCATAAAGACAGCAGCAAAGCGGAGAGTGGAGACCAGAGGTGGGAACAAGTCACTGAGTTGCAAGTGACAATGAGTCTTCAGTCTCGACACTCGAGTCCCGAGTCAGTACAGGCAAAACTCGATTCTAGTCCTAAATCCTAAACAAATCAGTCTGCATTCTTCAGCTAATGCCATTTTAACACTGAACACCAAAATGATGGTAACAGTAATGCAGCCTTTAATGACAGCATGTTAGTCATGTATGGTTGCACATTTTCAGGCGTGGTCCTCCCCCAAATTTCAGTTATTCCATTACAACAATGACAAAACACGAAAAGCGTTTTCCAAAAACATCCGTGTCAGTCAGATCGAGCAGGTCTGTGCTTTAACACATTAGAATATTATTAGAATTGCTAATATTATAATATTAGAATATTATTAATATATTAGAACTGTGTAGTTCAGATGAAAACGCAGCTCCTCCCTGCAGCTAACGCTCCACACATCTGGTGGAAACCAACATGATCACTCAGAGCTACGGAGCCCTGCTGGTGACATCCTGTATAAATAAAAATAATGCGCGGCCACAACTTAGTAAGGCATGGGAACAAGATAATTAAGTTGTGGCCACGACTTAATAAGGCATGGGAACAAGATAATTAAGTTGTGGCCACGGCTTAATAAGGCGTGGGAATGAGATAATTAAGTCATGGCCACGACTTAATAAGGCATGGGAATGAGATAATTAAGTCATGGCCATGACTTAGTTAGGTGTGGAAACGAGATAATTAAGTCATGGCCACGACTTAATAAGGCGTGAGAATGAGATGATTGAGTCTTGAACACAGCTTGAAAAGGCATAATCTTGTTCCTATGCCTTAGTCATGGCCATGACTAAATTATCTCGTTCCCAGGCCTTAGTTGTGGGAATAAGATAATTAAGTCATGGCCACGACTTAATAAGTCACGGGAATGAGATAATTAAGTCATGGCCTCAACTTAGTCAGGTGTGGGAATGAGATAATTAGGTCTTGGCCACGACTTAGTAAGGCATGGGAACAAGATAATTAAGTTGTGGCCACGACTTAGTAAGGCATGGGAACAAGATAATTAAGTTGTGGCTGCAGCTTAATAAGGCATGGGAATGAGATAATTAAGTCATGGCCATGACTTAGTTAGGTGTGGAAACGAGATAATTAAGTCATGGCCACGACTTAATAAGGCGTGAGAATGAGATGATTGAGTCTTGAACACAGCTTGAAAAGGCATAATCTTGTTCCTATGCCTTAGTCATGGCCATGACTAAATTATCTCGTTCCCAGGCCTTAGTTGTGGGAACAAGATAATTAAGTCATGGCCACGACTTAATAAGGCACGGGAATGAGATAATTAAGTCGTGGCCACAACTAAGTCAGGCATGGGAATGATATAATTAAGTCGTGGCCACAACTTAGTCAGGCGTGGGAATGAGATAATTAAGTCTTGGCCACAATTTAGTAAGTTGTGGGAACAAGATAATTAAGTCATGGCCACGACTTAATAAGGCGTGAGAATGAGATGATTAAGTCACAGCTTGATAAGACATGATTTCGTTCCTACGCCTAAGTCATGGCCATGACTAAATTATCTCGTTCCCATGCCTTACTAAGTCATGGCCACATATTAGGATCTTGTTCCCACTCGTAAATACGCCAAGGCTACGCATTTTTTTATTTATACAGGATGTCACCAGCAGGGCTCCATACAGCTTTACACACATGCTCTCAGTACCGTGTACTGTCTGTGTTCTGTGTTGTATTTATTGTACTGTATTGTCTGCACTGTGTATATTGTATTATTTGTATACACTGTGTATATTGTATTATATAGTGTTCCTGTGTTGGTCCTGGAGGAGTGTTGTTCCTTTCACTGTGTACTTGTATCTGGCTGAAATGACTACAAAGCCTCTTGAACTTGAACAGAACTCTGCAGAGCTGCTCTGCATCAGAAAGTCTGAGAAAGCAGCATCGCTTCGTATCTGAGGTGCAGCTCAGGACGTCTGCAGAACTCCTTAATCCATACAGACGCTCTCCGTCAAACATATGAAGACTGTTTAGTCCATAATGGAGAGTCCAGATGGGACAGGGGGCGTCTATACTGACCGTCAAAAGTTTAAGTACACCTTGCCTCTTTTTACAGTTTTTTAACTGTTCAAACATTTCATTTTTCTGAAATATCTCAGTTTTTTCAAAATCTCAGACATTCAAAACCTCAAAATAAATTCACCAAAAAACTTTAAACTTTACTCAAAATGAAACTGACTTCAAAACACGATCAAACCCATCAAGTTCACAGACATTATCAACTCAACACGAGTGCAATCAATACAAACACTGTTATTAATGCTAATAAATCAGCAACAGCTTCACTGTTTAAGTCTAAGCGAAATGATGATGGTGAAGAATATGAATGATCTTATTCCACTGGCAAATTATTATTTACCTTTGGTAGTTATAATTACCCTTTTTAACCCCTTAAAATCTAAAACAGAACTGTGTGGGCGTGTCCAACACAGTCCAACCAATGCTCACTCTTAATCAATCCAGCCAATTCTCACTCTTAATCAATCCAGCCAATTCTCACTCTTAATCAATCCAGCCAATTCTCACTCTTAATCAATCCAGCCAATTCTCACTCTTAATCAATCCAGCCAATGCTCACTCTTAATCAATCCAGCCAATACTCATTCTTAATCAATCCAACCAATGCTCACTCTTAATCAATCCAACCAATGCTCACTCTTTATCAATCCAGCCAATGCACACTCTTAATCAATCCAGCCAATGCTCACTCTTAATCAATCCAGCCAATGCTCACTCTTAATCAATCCAGCCAATGCTCACTCTTAATCAATCCAACCAATGCTCACTCTGAATGAATCCAACCAATGCTCACTCTTAATCAATCCAGCCAATGCTCACTCTTAATCAATCCAACCAATGTTCACTCTGAATGAATCCAACCAATGCTCACTCTTAATCAATCCAGCCAATGCTCACTCTTAATCAATCCAACCAATGCTCACTCTAAATCAATCCAGCCAATGCTCACTCTTAATCAATCCAGCCAATTCTCACTCTTAATCAATCCAACCAATTCTCACTCTTAATCAATCCAGCCAATGCTCACTCTTAATCAATCCAGCCAATACTCACTCTTAATCAATCCAACCAATTCTAACTCTTAATCAATTCAACCAATTCTCACTCTTTATCAATCCAGCCAATGCTCACTCTTAATCAGTCCAATTCTCACTCTTAATTAATCCAACCAATCTTCACTCTTAATCAATCCAACCAATGCCCACTCTGAACAAATCCAACCAATGCTCACTCTGAATGAATCCAACCAATGCTCACTCTGAACAAATCCAAACAATGCTCACTCTGAATGAATCCAACCAATCCTCACTCTGAATAAATCCAACCAATGCTCACTCTGAATGAATCCAACCAATTCTCACTCTTAATCAATCCAGCCAATGCTCACTCTTAATCAATCCAATCAATGCTCACTCTTAATGAATCTAGCCAATGCTCACTCTTTATCAATCCAACCAATTCTCACTCTTAATGAATCCAGCCAATTCTCACTCTTAATCAATCCAGCCAATTCTCACTCTTGATGAATCCAACCAATGTTCACTCTTTATGAATCCAACCAATGCTCACTCTGAATGAATCCAACAAATGCCTACAAACAAATGCTATCTAGACCAAGATAAGTCTGAGTACAAATACTATCGGAACCAAGACACTTCACAGTAAAAAGTTTATAGACAATATTATAGAAAATACTGTCTATCTATCTATCTATTTATCTATCTGTCTATCTGTCTGTCTGTCTGTCTGTCTGTCTAATGTTTTCACTGGCCGCCCTGGCCCTCTATCTTCAGTTAGTGTGGAAACAGCTCTTTACTACAACAGGATTTTCCTAGTTTTTTCCAATACAGCGTGACATCCTACATTACTTTCGCAGAAAGTTGTGCTAAAACTGATCAGCTGAAAAGTTTGACCTTTATATGGACAAAATGATGCAGAGCTACAGAAAAAGCTTTTATGAGGTTTCACAGCCTGTGTTTTTCTCTCACAGTTGTGACGCAGTATGTGCAATTATCTATGGGACTAGATGTAAACCTGTAACTAAATCTATACTGGAGCTGGTTTATAATAAGGCCGAGAGCGTTCGTCTCGGGCTCCGGCCTGTTATAGAAACATTACTGCACGCAAAAATTGCAGGACACAGCCATGTGACTGTAGAACACGGGGTGCGAGATCCACGTCAGGACTGGAGGGCGCTGGTTTGAGTCCCTCAGGGCACACGGATTTATCCAGCACTGCATGCAGAACATTGAAAATCAATTCAGTTTAATCTGTGCAGCTCGTTCTCCAGCAGACACTGTCCCAAAGGAAGAGAGCACGAAGAAGAACCAGAGGAGCCGAGACTTCTTCCACTGCTGGTGGGCGCTGAGTGAAGCCTTAACCATCACTCATTTATTTGAAACTGTGTGGAGCTGTTCAGTGTCTCTAATAGACTTGATGATGTGGTTTCTGACGCTGTATGACTCACTGTTATCTATAAACACGGACTAAAGTACGTTAGCACAGCTAAACAGTAGCAACATCTTGAAATATTAGCTTACTATGATGACATAATTTCTTATTTAATTGACATTTTGAGTTACTATGTCCAAATAATGACCTATTTATTCATACATTGGGCAAAATAATGCCTTATTTTCTCTAAAGTTTGACTGACGTCACATTGATGACTTATTTGCTTGAAATTTCTACTTATGTTAAAAAAAGTGACTCGAAATATTAATTTATTACGTTGAAATAATGATTTATTTACTCAACTATTTGACTTGCTAAGTCTAAATGATTAGTCTAAAAGAAATTGAGTAATTATTTTGGTATACTCTTAAAAAGATGGTTCTTCAAGGGTTCTTTAGTAAAGACAATGGTCCTATATAGAGCCATGAACACAAATGGTTCTACAAATTGTTGGAGAATGTGTTGTTTATGGTTCTATATAGAACCTTTCTGAAAATGGTTCTATAAGGCACCAAAAAGGGTTCTGCTATTGTTACAAGCTTGACCTCGTAAACAATACCAGAATTCTTTTTGGTGCTAGAACCATACACGGCACATTCCCCGAAGAACCGTTTCACCATGCAAAGAACCATTTAAGCATGAAATGGTTCTTTGAGTGTTCATGGTTCTATATAGAACCACTGTCTTTACTAAAGAACCCTTGAAGTACCATGTTTTTAAGAGTGTAGCTAACAACAGTAGCGATGTCTGCTTGTAATATTAACTTACTATAATGATATAATTTGTTATTTACTCAACATTTTGACTTACTATATCAAAATAATGACTTATTTACTCAAAAATTTTGACTTAGTATGGCAAAATAATCACTAATTTGACTGATGTCAAAAAATTATTAGATTTTATTACTGAAGAAATTAAATAAATAAATTATTCATTTATTATGTCAAAATAATTACTTATTTACTTAAAAGTTTGACTTGCTACGATCAAAATAATGATTCTTTTTCACAAAATGTTGACCTCTGTCAAAACCTATTCACTCAAAATCTCGACTTACTATGTTAAAATAATAACTAATTTTCTTAATATAAATGTATATATTAACCATTATTAACCATTATTTTCTGGATACTAAGTCGATGATCCGATAAACACGTCATTATGTCCAGATAAAGTCCATAAGAATGGTCCACAGTTATGTCCATAAGAAACAGGACGCTACAGTAAATTGTTAAGGGTCACTAAGCTGTGCGCTCCTGTTAATGTGTTCAGTTTGAACAGAACTCATGTCCCCCCAGCTGCTCCTTCTCTCCCTTCATCAGAGCCGTCAGAACCATCAGAACCGGACCGCAGAGCTGCTCACCTCACCGCGCTGGACCTGCAGCAGGTCGCTGAGTGAGCCGGACCTGAGCGCGGAGCTCCACTCGGGTCTGAAGGCGTCGAAAGCGCCGTTGGGAGAGTCTCGCAGAGACAGACGGACCCAGTTCAGCAGCTGCTCCGGAGGACACACCGAGGCGGAGGAGGCGTCTAGAGCCGGCATCACACTCATCCTCGCGGGATCCCCCTCCTTTCACCATCCGCGCTAGAGCAGGGGCTCCATCCGACACTGCGGGGTCATGAGGGGTCCTGAGGGGTCCCTGCTCTACTGAGCTGCGGACTCACTGCAAACTCACTCTCACTGCAGCTCTGCGAGGAGAGTTTGCGCGCTCTCTGTGCGCGCGGGGAGGGAAGGGAAAGCAGGGCTGCGTTCCAATGCGCGCTCTAGTGCTCTAATTAACTAGGGTACTTTGTCTGGCTTTACACGGTGAAACCTCCATGCAACAAGTTGCATGTTGTGAGTTTCCTGCAACATTTACACAAAGCAACTCAAAAACAGCGAGTAGTGCACAGTACATGTAATTAACCCGCCCCTCAAATTAGCAGCTGGTGTTTTTGATACTCTGTGTAGTTCTTGCTCTGAAGTCATTGACGAGGTGTGGTATATGAGACACACACACACACACACACACACACACACACACACACACACACACACACACACATATATACATATATATATATATATATATGTATGTATATATGTATGTATGTGTATGTATGTATAGCAACCCACTACTATATATATATAAATGAAGCACTAAAGGAAACATATATTGTAATATATTTAGGCTAGTCAGTGTTATTACTAGAGTGCACTAGGTAGTGTACTAGTATATTGAGAGCAGCATTTGAAACACAGCCCACAGCTGAGACTGCATGTTCAGTGGAAACAGCTGTGTGTGTCATAGGCAGCGGGCCAACATCTCTTCAGGCACATCATCAGAATTATGACAGACTGCTGTATAAACTCTAACTGGATCTACAGTTTGCTGCTTATATGTATTTATGTATTTACTTGCTTATTTATTTATTATCACGACTTCAGTTATGAATTGCTGAAATTGATCTTATTTTGACAACATTATGTCTATTTCTGATATGTATGTATATTTATGAGATCTTTTCATGTATGTTCTATAACAGTATGGATGCGCACTTCATTCCTTATGTCAGCTGGATGGGAAATAACAGCAAAGCGTTACAGTAAAGACTCTATCGGTAATGACCAACCCAGTGTGTTATGGCGTCCTACCGCTGGCGCGCATTGACGTAGGAGGGCGAGAGGTGTGGCTATGCAAAGCGGCCAAGCCAAGAGGCTCTTGGTAAGCGCCATGCTCAAGGTGCTGCCTTGTTCAATCAAAAAACATTCGCCTATAGCACAATGTTTCCCACGTCCTACTCTGTGCCACATTGGTGTCAGAAATAGGATAGTGCAAACCGCAGCACGGTGAGGACCAGTAATGAAGACAGAGAAGGGATCACCGCGATGGCTGACCTTTGTGGGGGACTATGTGGTGTCTCAACACTGGCTCGCGCTGCTGTAGGAGGCTTTTGGGAAGCACTGCGCTCACAGTAGGAGAAGCATTTACTGTAAATAAGATGTTTTAACTTAGTGATGTTTAAAGAATGTTTCCTGCATCTTATTCTAAGAGGACCTCATAATATACATTTAACAAATGTACCAAAAGAAATGACTGCTGTGTTTGGTGCTGACATTCCTTAGCCCAAGCTTCAACATAACAGTGTCGAAGTCTCAGTCTTGTCTCTGTCTTGATAGTTTCTTTCTTTCTTTCTTTCTTTCTTTCTTTCCTTCTTTTAACGATGGTCAACTCTTGAATGACTCTACAGCTTTTGACAGGTTGCACAAACATAAAATGTCATGAAAATATACAAATACCACAAATAGTGTAAAATCTGTGTTGGACTCTCCACAGCAAATGTTTATGCTGCCACCTGCTGGTGCAATGAAATATTACACTCACAATCACTCACCTGTCAGTGTCCTTCTTCAACACAGAAGTGAAAACAGTATAAAGCAATCATAAAATTATGTTTATGTTAATCAATCTGAATGTGTGCTGCTGATCTTTGTTGTGTAAATTAATCTTTAAAGTCCCTTTTTTGCTGTTACAATCGAAGATTGTGTTGGTGTGCTACCAGCATTAATGAGATGGCATATTAATAACACGTTCACAAACCTAAATGATACACATAAAGTACTGTATAATAGTCTTAGGCAGCCATGGAAATAGTTTAAAACTATTTATATGGACAGTAAGAATAATTTGTTACCAGTAAAAAAACACTTTATAACATTGTAATAAACACAAACATAAATTCAGTAGTCAGAATGTTTTGTTTTCAGAAAAGTCATAAATATGTAGCTTAGAAGAATACAGGTTCTAATGTTAGTGTGTTTCTTTTTTTAAAAATTAATACTTTCTGCCCCAATAATCATTGTCTCAGAGTTGTCAGATATCTGTGTAGACTAGGGAAGCACACTGATATCAGATTAATATCATTATTGGATGATAATTGCTTAAAATGTCTGCTAGATGTTTAGACCTAAGTAATGGTGGTATAGGCTCCAGCACACGTATATGTGTATATATACATGTATATATCTGTATGTGAATAAGAGTCTATGGGGAACTCTGACCCAGAAGGCCAGCAGGATTCCTACACCACAGTAACTCTCACACCCTGCCTGATAATCTCAGTCTGAACACACAGGCAGGAGAATATCACTCAGTCACACATTATACCAGGAAGAGTTATATTAGATGTAGTGGTGGAGGATTACGCCCTGCTGAAAAACAGCATAGACCAGTGCTGATTTATCCTGGTCTCATACTGGTCTATGCTGGTTTATGCTGATCTAGTGCTGGTCTATGCTGGTCTAGTGCTGATCTATACTGGTTTATGCTGGTCTATGCTGGTTTATGCTAGTCAAGTGCTGGTCTATGCTGGTTTATGCTGAGCCAGTGCTGGTCTATGCTGGTTTATGCTGGTTTCTGCTGGTCTAGTGCTGGTCTGGTACTGGTTTATGCTGGTCTATGCTGGTTTATGCTGAGCCAGTGCTGGCCTATACTGGTTTATGCTGGTCTATGCTGGTTTATGCTGAGCCAGTGCTGGTCTATGCTGGTTTATGCTGGTCTAGTGCTGGTCTGGTGCTGGTCTAGTGCTGGTCTATGCTGGTCTGGTGCTGATTTAGTGCTGTCTAGTGCTGGTTTATGCTGGTCTATGTTGGTCTGGTGCTGGTCTATACTGGTTTATGCTGGTCTATGCTGGTCTATGATGGTTTATGCTGGTCTAGTGCTGGTCTATGCTGGTTTATGCTGGTCTAGTGCTGGTCTGGTGCTGGTCTATGCTGGTTTCTGCTGGTCTAGTGCTGGTCTATGCTGGTTTCTGCTGGTCTAGTGCTGGTCTGGTACTGGTTTAGTGCTGGTCTATGCTGGTTTATGCTGGTTTATGCTGGTCTATGCTGGTCTGGTGCTTGTCTATGCTGGTCTATGCTGGTCTAGTGCTGGTTTATGCTGGTTTCTGCTGATCTAGTGCTGGTCTATGTTGGTTTATGCTGGTTTCTCCTGGTCTGGTACTGGTGTATGCTGGTGTATGTTGGTTTATGCTGGTCTAGTGCTGACCTGGTGCTGGTCTATGCTGGTCCAGTGCTGGTCTGGTGCTGGTCTATGCTGGTTTATGCTGGTCTAGTACAGGTCTATGCTGGTCTAGTGCTGGTCTGGTGCTGGTCTATGCTGGTTTATGCTGGTCTAGTACAGGTCTATGCTGGTCTGTGTTGGTTTATGATGGTGTAGTCATAGTTCAGAAAAAAAACTCCTCAAATCTACACATTTTCCGCTCTAAATGTAGTCAATCAGTTGAGATGTCTGGTGTCTGAAGTTTTCTTCTTTAGTTTTACACTGGAGCTACAAGGCCAAGGTAGCAAACAAGCAATGGAAGCTTATAACACACCAATTAGCATGACGCTAACCGCAGCCTAAATCATCAAACGCTCGCCTCAAACTGTGTGGAGGCGTTCAGTATCTCTAATAGACTTCATTATGTGGTTTCAGGCACTGTATGACTCACTGTTATCTATGAAACATACAATTATACAAATATTTTCACTGAACAAAACTGAACAAAATCACAGACAAATCAAGCTGCTGCTGTTTTTAGCTATGCTAACGTACTTTAGTCCATGTTTATAGATACAGTGAGTCATACAGCGTCAGAAACCACATAATCAAGTCTATTAGAGACACTGAACAGCTCCACACAGTCTGAGGCGAGTGTGCGATGATTTAGGCCTGCAGTTAGCACCATGCTAATCAGGTGATTCCATGATTGAGGTGCCATTTGTATCTGTCACTGATATTACGTTCATAACTATGTATATAAAGTAAGGCAAAAGATTTACTAAAAATGGGCTTCACAACTTCACGACACTAAAAGAGTCCTTCACAACAATCTATGCATGTTTCTGATGAATCACTCAATTAATTAATCAAACCACTTAGAAAACAGCATTTTTTTGGCATAGCCCATCATAACTACACTTTGCCTTGAAACTTAATCAGTAAAATACACCAATCAGGCATAACATTCTGACCACCTCCTTGTTTCTACACTCATTGTCCATTTTATCAGCTCCACTTACTATATAGGTGCACTTTGTAGTTCTACAGTTACAGACTGTAGTCCATCTGTTTCTCTGATACTTTGTTAGCCCCCTTTTACCCTGTTCTTCAGTGGTCAGGACCCCCATGGACCCTCACAAAACAGGTACTATTTGGGTGGTGGATCATTCTTAGCACTGCAGTTACAATGACGTGGTGGTGGTGTGTTAGTGTGTGTTGCGCTGGTCTGAGTGGATCAGACACAGCAGTGCTGCTGGAGTTTTTAAACACCTCAGTGTCACTGCTGGACTGAGAATAGTCCACCAACCAAAAATATCCAGCCAACAGCGTCCTGTGACCACTGATGAAGGACTAGAGGATGACCAACACAAACTGTGCAGCAGCAGATGAGCTATCGTCTCTGACTTTACATCTACAAGGTGGACTGACAAGGTAGGAGTGTCTAATAGAGTGGACAGTGAGTGGACACAGTGTTTAAAAACTCCAGCAGCCCTGCTGTGTCTGATCCACTCGTACCAGCACAACACAC